GGCAGGTGGAGTGATGGCCAAGTGCAAGGAGAGAGGAGTGGGCCCCAGCTGCCCACCGTTCTCATGATGCCAACGGGTGATCCCTGGCCAAGCCCACTCCCCCACCGGGGGCTTCAATTTCTCTATTATAAGTGGGGGTTGTTAGGTCTGTGGCGTTCGATTGATTCAGGTTGGCACAAGGTCCAACCACTTTTAGGAATCTTGTTAGTGCCTCTTCCCAACGTACAGGTAAGGAAATAGGCCCAGGGAGGACAGAGACTTGCAGATACCACACAGCATAACAGTGGCAGAGCTGGCACTAGTGGGTGCCTGCTGTGCAAGAAGGAATAGATCAAGAAGTGGTTGAGAGACCCAGAGCTGAGGTCGGTCCCCACGAGGAGCTTCCACCCTTTCCCATACCAGCCCTGTTGGCCACTTGGCCACTTGGCCAGATGCCTGAGGACACCATTGTGGTGGTGCCCCAGAAGCAGACGTCACCTAGGAGGAGAAACATCCAATCGCAGCACTCCAGCTTCCTCAAACCCCGCCCCCTCCCCTCCAACACAGACTTTGCTGCTTGTCCTTTATGTGGATGTGGGCAAGTGGCTGGTCCCTGGGAACTCAGTTGGGCCATTTGTAAAGAAAGGAGTTCTAATCAGTGATCTAGGCTCTCTTTGTGGTTCCTCCGTCTGCCATGGGAGTATCTGGGACAGTCCAGGGGTGGCGACCCCCAGGGCTCAGGTCCAGCCTGTGGACGCAGTTCGCCCTCCTCCATCCCCTCAGTCCTCTCCTGGAGGTCCAGTGGCTGGAGCCCAGGCAGCAGGTCAGAGAGACAGGTGCCCACAGTTTGTGGGCTGACCAGCCTTGGACCCTGCACTTATCCAATCAGGCTGTCCTCTGCGGTTTCCTGCTGGGCTCCGCTCCCTGCCCGCAGCCAGCCTGTGGCCATAGGCCGGCCCCAGATCCCCACCTGAAAGGCTCTGGAAGGACAGAGGGGGTTTCTGAGCTGGAGGGAGGAGGTGGGCCTCCAGGCGCACCCCTGTCCCCTCACCTGGCCCCCATCCAGCCTCAGCATCGCGTCTTTCACTGGATATTGAAAGTCATCTAAACACGCTTAGGACAAAACACAAAGTTGTGCCCTTATGGACCCATTATGTTTCCTATGATGAGAGGCCTGACCCCTGACCTGTCCATGAGATGACCTCTGACCCTGACCTTGGCCACAGACAGGCTCAAAAACTTACCTGGCTCAGAGCATGGCCACAAAGTGACTCCTGATCCTTAGGATGGTCAACCCTCCCTGGATGCAAAGGAACCCCTAACTGTCCATCTTTCACCCGTAGCCGGGGAAGCATTTATGCAGCATCTGCTGTATGCTGGGCCCTATGCTGACAGCCAGCAAGACCATGGTGCCCTGTGAATGTCACAGTGTGGCCATTGCTGAAGAACAGGGAGGTGCCAGTGCCTTGGGAGCACTAACGTAATCTGTGTAAGGGGTCAGGGAAGGCATCCCAGGGGAGGGGAAACTGAAGGTGGCTCTGGAAGGATGTGTAGGAGTTTGCTGATGGACAAAGAGGGGAGAGATATTCCAGACTGGTCCACAAGCAGCAGGAACCACCGGTCACTTCCTGTGGGCAAACCTGATGAGGGCGTAGCCAGAGGCGAGTATTTTATCGGAACATTCTCGTTTCTGTCCTGGGGTGGGCCAGCAGCTGTCTGGGGCAGTGGGGATGGCTGCGGGGCTGAGGTTCAGCAGCTCTGTGCCCCACTCAGCCCTGCCGCCCAGCTAAGGGGGTGCACGTCTCAGTTCAGCCTCCGTTCTGCACCCCACCTGTCGGACAGAAGCAAATCCTCAACTCAGGGCCTGTCCGAGAAGCTCTGGGTGGCATGAGTCCCGCCTGCGCGGGCGGGCGGGCGGGCGCCTGAGCTGCAAGAAGAGGGCTGCAGGGCTGTGCTCCTGGGCAGGGCGTGCGGCTGGGGAGATCAAGGCACTTCCTGGAGGTGCTGGAACTGAGCTTGAAGGATGGGTTGGGGGGGGTCAGTGTTCCAGAGCGGGGGAGGGGTGCAGCTGGAGCAGAAACTCCCGAAGGTTAGAGCAGGAATAGACCCCTGTGGCCGGTGGAAGGCAGGAGAGAGGAGGCTGGGGGAGGAAGTGTCCCTGGGACCTGGGGGTCTGGACCCTCGTGGACCTGCTCCTTGAGGGGTGGTGACACCCTGCGGGAATCAGGAGGCCACCCTGCACATATATAGGCACAGCCTAGAAGAAGAAGGCACTGAACTTGCTGGGCAAGGGCAGCAGGGCAGGACAGCTGGAGCCGGATGCATCGGGCTCGTGGTGCGTGACCAGGGCTGTGTGTGAGCTTTTGTCCCCAAGGCTGTGTTATGTGAGAGGGGTGGGGGGGGGGGAGGCGGGGTGTGCAGTGCTTGGCAGCCCCCGGTAGAATCTACGTGGGTGTGTAGGGCTCCTGGTGGGCCGGGGGATGAGCTTTCCAGAAAAACCAACCTTGGGGACCCTCCCACTCCCACTCCTTCCCACAAATGTGCATACACACCCTCCAAGGGACCCTGGGTCTGCAGAAGGACAAGCAGGAGGGCCGTTCACAGCCTGTCTGTCCTTTCTGCCGTCGTTCCTTTTACCCAGCCCCCAGGAAGGGCCGGCCAGGCTGCTGAGAAGGGGAACAGGAGCTGAGCCTGGAGCCTACCCCGGCCTTTAGCATGGGCGCCTGGAAGCCATTAGGGGCCTGGGTGGCGCCCGCTCTGCCCCTGCGCGACAGGCTTGGATTCCTGCAAGGAGCAGGCCGCCCCCTTCCTGCCAAGCCCATGCCAGGCCTGGCAGCTCCCAGAGGCAGAGAGGATGTGGCGGTGGCCCCCTCCCGCCACCCTCAGTTTAGGGGCTACAGGAAGGGCCCGGCAGACAGGACCCCCTCAGCAGCCCTCATTCCTAGCACAGCCCCGGCTGCCAGGCTGGCACAAGGATTTCCTGCCTCCTTCCCCTCCCCCGCAGGCTCTCACATTGTTTTTCTTTTCCAAGAGCTTCTCCACGTGGAGCCTGGCCAGGAAAATGGGAAGAGGAGAGTGCACGTCCCGTCCGTTTGTATGTTTGTGTGTGTATGAGTGCGCGTCTGCGTAGCAGTGAGTATCTTTGCATTTCTCTGTGTGTGCCCATCCATGTGTTGGCATGTGTGTGTCTTCAGGTGTCAGGTGTGTCTGGGACTCTGTATCTGCTGGTGAGCATCTTCCCATGCATCGGTACAGTCCTGCGTGCATTGGGTTGACCTCCGAGTATGCACATTCCTGCCTGTGTCTCTTTGTGTTTATGTGAAGGTGGGTGTGTGTCTGCAGTGTGCCTAGGTGCGCACTGATGTCTGTGAGGGCACATGGCATCAAGGCCAGCGACCTCCCTGCACAGGTCGAGAGACTGAGTCACAGAGAGGGTGCTCAGCCTGCACGGGGTCCTTTGGGGAGTTGGTGGTATTCTGGGAACTGGAACAGACGTCTGGGTGCGTAACTTTGGGCAGGTGTTAGTGGAGTTGAGACACACACATTTGTGTCTGGGGACTTCCGGGGGGAGACCAGGCATCACCAAATACCCCAATGTCCTAAACTTGAACTATTAAATTATAATTCCCAGCATCATGTCTACTAAGCCAGAGACTGCCTTTAAAGCAACTCTCCTCTTAGGGGCAGAGCAGAGGGGACCTTGGGGCTGGGGGCAGGGCAGGGAGGCAGTGCCAGCCTCAGGGCTTACTTTCCACAGCCAATTCTGGCGTCAGATGACCTGCCAAGAGCGAGGGGGTTAGAGACTGGAAAGGCTGCCGCAGAGGGCTGGCCAGGCAGCGATGAGACAGTACTCTGGTTGGTCACTCAGAAAAGGAAGAGAGAGGTCAGGGCAGGGCCTTAGGTGCTGGTGGGAAGGACAGTTAGCGGAGTGGGGAATGGAGTTCAGAATGTCTCAAGGGGCTGATGAAGGTGGTCAAAATGAGGCCGCATGGAGGGAGAATGTGGCAGGTTAGGGACAGAGAGGGACATGTGACTCATTTATTTTAAGTGGGATGCATCCCATGAGTAACAGCTTGACACGTCACCGCAGCCCCGCCGTCTAATAGACGCTGATTTATTGCCACCGTACCACCGGTGCCTGCGTGCTCACCAAGCCCTCCCCAGGGTTTACCTTTGGAAGGCACCGTATCTGGACCTGCTCTGAGTCTTCCCCTTGCTGAGCCTTCCTCTCCTCTCTAGTAAATGTCTCTAATTTCCCTTGAGTCTGTTGAGACAAATAAATGAAATTATTCACATAAGGCATGGTACCCGGTCTGTAACCCGCCCTCCACAAATGCCATTGTCATTGTCATCATGTGCTAAGACTAAAGCAGTGAGCAAACTCACAGCAGTGAGAGTGGGGAGCACACAGGGACTCCCATTAATGGTACAACAAGGTTAGTTAGTGTAGTGATAGGGACAGGTCAGGGTTTGACCCCCTGGCCTGAGATGGCCCGGGAGGACTTCTAGGAGGCAGTGACGTCTCAGAAATGCTTTTAGGCCCACTTAGGAAGAGGCAGGAGGGCCAGCATGGAAGCATGCTGTGTTCAGGCTGGAGATGGGGCCTGAAGGTCAGGGACAGCAGATCAAGGTTGCAGGTCAGCTGCTGCAGACTGAAGCCACTAAAGTGGGGAGTCTGGTGGCCAGTGAGGAAGTGATTTCAGACCCTAGCTCACCATTCCAGCGGCACAGGGGTCCTCCTGGAGCAGGCCGTTGTCTCCCACCGCCTTTGGCCATGCTGTCCGCTCTGCCGGTTATGCCCTTCCCATTGCTGATCGTATGGATACAGACAGACGGTGGCCACGGTCTAATAATGATGTGCTCTCCTACAGGTGCCAGAGGCATCCCCCATCCTGTGGCCGGGAGAGCAGTGGGTAGAGGTGGCCATCATGCACAGTGGTATCACATACGCCAAAAGTTCCTGGCGCCGCCCCTGAGTCCAGCCCAAGTTCAAGTCCAGAGCCCGTGAACTTCCTTGCACCATGAGCCACGGACCGAGCCCCCGGCTGGCCGAGTCCCCGCAGCTGTCCAAAGGGAGCCTCCTGACCATCCTAGGCAGCCCGTCGCCAGAGCGCATGGGGCCAGCAGACTCGCTGCCTCCCACGCCGCCCAGCGGCACGCCCTCCCCAGGGCCGCCCCCAGCCATGCCGTTGCCGCCGGCACCCTCGGCGCTGCTTGCGGACGGGGACTGGGAGAGCCGCGAGGAGCTGAGGCTGCGGGAGCTGGAGGAGGCACGCGCGCGGGCAGCGCAGATGGAGAAGACCATGCGCTGGTGGTCGGACTGCACTGCCAACTGGCGTGAGAAGTGGAGCAAGGTGCGCGCAGAGCGCAACCGCGCGCGCGAAGAAGTGCGCCAGCTGCGCCAGCGCCTGGACGCGCTCACCAAGGAGCTGGCGGGCGCCCGCCGCGAGCGCCAGGAGGTGCAGGGCGAGTGCGAGGCGCGGGGCCGAGAGCTGGCGCGGCTCCGTGGTGCCCGAGGAGGCACTGACCCGACGCCCGATGGACCCGAGACGGAGCCTGAGCGGGAGCACGAGCCCGTGCGCGATGTCGGGTCAGAGAGGCCCCCGAGCAGCCAGGTGTGTGGAGGAGGCGGGGCTGCTGGGCAGGGAGGGCCTTAGCCCTTCGGTCTGAAAGTGGACCGGGCTGATTGATTACGCACAGAGGTGGTGGCTGCCGGGCTCAGCAAGAGGATGGTAAGGGCTTGGTGCCCTAGGAGGCTTTACTCCTGTGGGTCGACCTGGTGGGGCTCCAGGTCACCTCGCTTCTAGAGAGTCCTGGGTTCTGGTGGTCCCTCCACTCTCACACCTGAGCAGTCAACAGAACCAGGGAATCATTCATTTTGAGCAGGAGTGGGATCTATCTAAGCACCTGCCCTGGCAAGTATCTATTAGTAGCAGCGCTGAATCCATCCATTGGATCAACTTGAATTGAGGGTGGGGAGGTAAACATTTATAGCAAGCATCAGTTAAGAGAGGTCGGGGTGGAGGGGCCTGTGAGGGCACTGGGAGCACAGATCCAGCTTTTAGGGAGGGGGCTGCACAGAAGCTCTCCTTTTAAAGAGGTCCCGTTTAAACAGAGACTAGGAGGATGCACAGGAATTAGCTGTGAAAAGTGCACATGGCACTCCAGGCATGGAAATGGCCTGTGCAAAAGCGCTGAGGCAGAGGGCGCCCGGGGAGTCTGGGAACTGGCAATAGCGGCTCCCATGATTCAGTGGGCACCTACACAGAGCGCTAAGCTCTGCATGGGCATCTTCTAGGTCATTCTCACAGTGACCCCAGGAGGGGTTTGCTTTATGGAGAAGGACACTGAGGCATAGACAGGTTAAGGAACAATGTCTCCCAGCTGGTGACAAGTTGCTGGGGAGCTGAACCCAGGGGAACTCCAGAGTCCATGGTAATGATCAGTGTGGCTGGAGCACCGATGGTGGGTGTGGAGGGCAGCCTCCCGTGAACCCGCAGGCCTGTCAGCAGAAGGCAGTCTAGGGACAGAGTCCAAGTTCAGGTTGCTCCTAGCTCCATCCCCAGACTCTAGGTAAGATTCTTGGTTGCCCCACCCCTCCCCTGCCCTGCTCCCTTCACCCCTGTAGGCTAGAGTGGGCACCGCTACCTCCTGGTAGCGGACGCCCCCTCTTCCTCAGGTTTGCCTGGTGTTTGGAGGTGGCATTCATTGCTCTTCTTTGGGGCAGACCACGACAGCCCCTGTCAGCCAGCCCCGCGGTCTCTTCCTGTCCTGTCCTTGTTCTGGTTGTCTGCCACAGTCCAGGAGGTGGCAGGCGCGGCAGTGAGGGCCCTGGGCTTGCGGTCTGAGTTTGCTCTCCAGCCCAGCCACTGTCTGCTCTGTGGCCCAGAATAAATCCCTCCCCTCCCTGTTTTCCTGTTTAAGAAACAGAGCTTTGGACCAGGTAGCACCTGAGGCCCCCACCCAGACTCTGAGTTACAGGAGGAATAGAATCTCACTCCTTGGGGAGTCATCAGAGCCACTGTTCCAGGGAAACCAGGAGCCAGCCGGGCAAGGGGCTGGCCCACTCACATGGGAAAACCAGGCTGCAACAGAGGCCTTGGGTGTCTGGGGTTTGTGGTCAAGGCAGGCCTTCAGGGCGCGCAGGGTTGGGGTGGAGGGGAAGGGGGTTCAGGAAGGGAAGGGGGCTTGGCACTGGGTTAATAACCCCCCACAGCTTCCTGTCTGGGAGCCAGTTCTACTTGCAGGGCCGCCCTACCCTTCATCTTGTCGCTTAGCTCTGGTGTCTTAGCGTTTGCCCTGGAAAAAATGGGGTCTTAGAGCCGGAATTCTTTTGGAAGGAATCTCGTTTTTATTCACTGTAGGAATTCTCTGCTTCCACATTGATTCACACCAGTGTCTCACCATATGTTTGCATACTTAAAGCGCTAGGGAACTCACCACCTGTCCTAAGAAATCTTCCAGGATACAGGGAACCTTGGTGGCAGACTCGGCGTGCCGTTCCAGGACAAGAACAGGGAGGCCCAGAGGAGGCTGTGTCCTTCCCTTTCTAGGATGGAGAGAAAGGCTACAAAAAAAGGGAGCCAGGACCCAGAAGGGCTGTGCGACCTGCCCAAGGTTACCCACCGAGATGATTCCAGACCCAGGTCCTGGGAAAGGCCAAGAGGGCTCAGCAGGCTCTGGTCCATCTTCCACCTTGGTCCCCGCAGGAGCTGGAGCTGGTGGAGAACCTGCTGAAGAGCAGACCAGAGGAGCCCGAGGGCTGCTGGGAGGCACGCAGCGTAGGGGCCGGGGGCCCACGGGGCAGCTCAGGCCGCCAGGAGCGCAGCCGGCTGCCCTGGGAGGACACGGCCGCCATCGAGGAGGATGCCTCCAAGTTGACGGCCCTACGGCTGCGGCTGGATGAGTCCCAGAAGGTGCTGCTCAAGGAACGCGAGTGAGTCCTGGGAGGCAGGCAGGGGCCAGGGGGCAGGCCAGGGGACCCTTAGCATCACAGAATGAAAGTCGGTTGTCGCAGAACATGAGACACGCTGACGGGGAATGGTACTGTTGGGGCTCGAGTCGTGCAACATTAGTGCTCTACCCGAGGACCCCATGCACGTTTCATTTGTATTAATTCCGATAATACATGTGGGCATCTGCTCTGCGTCAGGCACTGTGCTCGGCTGTGAGGCTACAGCCATAAATGAGGCCAGAAGTCCTCGCCCTTGTGGCACTTACCATATTCGCTGTGTTCAATGCGCACCCACGGTTTGGTGCGCATTATACTCGGGACTATTATACACCCATCACGTGTAATCGTTATGCCCATGTATAATGTGCATCTTTATTTTTCCCTGAGAAATTTGGGCAAAAAGGTGCACATTATACATGGCAAAATACAGTGCCTTTTGGTGGGGAGAAAGGGCCATGGGCAAACGTTTAACCAGGGAAGGAGGGACAGAGAGGTTGAGGGGCCGCGAAGTTGATTTTGGACGTGTTGAGTCTGAGATGGCAGGGTGGCGGCTGGGTCCGGGAATGGGCCTGCAGTCGGTGAGATGGGCCTCTCTAAAATCAGTAGTTAAAAAATACAAAAATAATTGAAATAAAGAACACAGAGGCCACCAGTGACCTTGATCAGGGCACACACTAGATTATAATGAGTATGTTGTAGCGCCCCCTTTCCCATCTAGATATTTGATGCATAGATAGGATAACCTAGCTACACATGGTTTTCTTAAAAAATCAACATAATGCCATATAACCATGAAGGCAAATATCAAGGTGATGCTCCTACCGGGCAGCATCGGGGACACCAAAGAAGGCCAGCACACCACCAGGAGCCGGGGGGGAGCATGGGGCAGACCCTCACAGCCTTCAGGGGGAGCCGGCCTGCCAGCACCTTGATCTTGGACTTCTAGCCTACAGAACCATGAGGCAACAGATTTCTATTTAAACAAACAAAAATCAACCTAACATACTAACTGAAATGTAAAGTAGGAAGGAAAAGAATTTATAAAATATATGTACAATTGACCCTTGAACAACACAGGGGTTAGACATGCCGAGCCCCTTGCAATTGAAAATCCATGTATGGGATTTGACTCCCTAAAACCTAACCATGGCTGTCCCTCCATATTCGTGGGTGCTCGAGTCCCTTATATAAAATGTCATAGAACAACGCGTATACCGTCAAACGTCTGTTCTTGAACATCTCCCGGCTCAAACAATTCAGTTCTCAAACAGCCTCTGGAACGAATTAAGTTCGGACACTGAGGTTCTACGTGGAGTTGGCCCTTTGGATCCAGGTTCCCAACCACAGATCAAAAATCCTGCAAAACCCGGGAATACAGAGGGCTGACTTGGTATTTACTGAAAAAAAAAACTTGCATATAAGTGGACCTGCTCAGTTCAAACCCATGTTGCTGATGGGTCAACTGTATTATGATGTGGAGATGCTTGGGTGCGGTTCCACTAGAAGGAATAATGAGGCGATGAGAATCTGGTGACATTGCGTGGAATGATAGTGACGAAGACCATGACAGCCAGTACCGACATGCTCCGAGTCGGGCAGAGGCTGAGGCTTTATGCGTGTCCGCCCATTGGAGTCACCCGCTAGGTGAAAAGCAGCGGTGCAGGTGTGCGGGGTGGCAGTTCCACACCCGAGGGGTGTCGCTGTGGCGATGGGATTTCCTGAGAGGTGAGCAGCCTTTGGGCAAGTGCTAAACGAAGCGAAGTGCGGTCTTCCCTCATTTATACAGCGGTTCCGTTCCTGGGAAACTGTTAGCACACAAGGTACTTCCCGCTTACGTGTAAACCAGAGTGAGGTTCTAGGCTCGGATCGTTCTCACTCCCAGGGATGTCAGGCACCGAGCTTGTTACCCATGATGCTTCATTTGTGTGCATGGTGGGGGTCTTGGAAGAACAAGAGAATCCTGCCCTGTGATGACAACAAGCGGGGACCACTAGGTCCGAGAGTCACTGGACAGTGTTTTCCAGCTTTTCTAACTGCAGAACCGTGTTTTCAAACCAAACCTTACAGGAAACCACAGTACATGGAACAGGAGCAGGGGTTATATCTGGCAGGAGATCCTGGGGCCCGGAGGAGGGAGGCACCTGCCAGGGGTGGCCCGTGCCCCGGAGGAGGCGTGGCCACCTCCCCACACCCTGAGCTGGGCACCTGCACTTGTGGGAGGAGTACCGGTCCAGGAGAAATGCAAACCCAGGGTGCCTCCCACAGTGTGGGGTCCAGGGCCTTGAATGCTGAAGCAAGGACTTTGGCCATGGGTTCTGCAGGTGCAGGCTGCACAGGAGGACTCTGAACAGAGGGCCCCAGTGGGCTCACCCTCACGTCTGCCTCTCCCTCTTCCCTTCCCAGGGATAAACTGGCACTGAGCAGGAACATTGAGAAGCTGGAGGGGGAACTCAGCCAATGGAAGATCAAGTATGAGGAGCTGAGCAAGACCAAGCAGGAGATGCTCAAGCAAGTGAGTCTTGGAAACCAGGGGGACTTCCTGGAGGAAGCAGCATTGCACGTCTGAATTTCAGCAGTGGGAATAGACGAAAGAAGGGAATTCATTCATCATCAAGTGTTGGTCATGTGCCACGCAGTGTTCTGAGTGCTGGGGCGGGCAATGTCCCTGCTTCCAGGAGCTCACCTTGTGGGAGGGGATGGGGGGAAACCAATAGAAACCAGGCAGATAAGTTCATAAACTATGAAACAGTCAAAACAGTCTAAGAGCAATGAGGTGGTAGGTCAGGAAAGGCCTGTGTAAGAAGGTGACATTGGAGGTAAGACCCAAAGCGATTAGAAGAAGCCACCCTTGAAAAGATGTGGGGGCAAAGTTCCTAGCAGAAGGCAAAGCACATGCAAAGGTCGTGAGACCAGAACAAGCTTGATGCACAGAAAACGAGCCAGTGTGGCTGGTGGTCAGTAAGTGAGAGAGGAGGCTGAGGCGAGAGCTTCATAGACCAAGGCGAAGGGGAGGCATCGGGATGCAGCGTTCACTGGGTGCCTGCAATGTGCCAGGACTCACCGACGCCTCATGGCCGTCAGGAGGCTGTCCCCCTTTATAAGTGGGGAAACTGAGGCTCCAGGTGGACTTTACCGCAGTGTTGGGGACTGAGGGTAGGCAGGGACAGGCTAGGCAGCCTTTACCACCTGCCGTGCAGACCCGTTGGCCAGCAGGGGGCACAGCCACCCAGAGAAAGCTGGCTGGATTGGCCGCGTTTCCCAAAGGCGGGAGGACCACAGACAGATCTCAGACCCTGACACTCTGCCCTGGAAGGGCTGACACCGGTCCTAGGGAATCCCTGGAATATAGACTCCCAGACCCACACACATGCTCCTGAGTCATCCTTTTTGGGACCTGGATTGAGGAATCTGTCCTAAGTTTTTCTGATTGTGAAGTGTAATCATTTGCAGGAAAGTGAATAACACACCAATGTGCAGTGTCGTAGATAGTTATAAAGATCTGCTTTTGTATCTGACTTCTTCCCCTCAACCTATGTATTTGAGGCTCACTCCCGTCTTTACCCAGAGCAGTAGTTAGTTGCTGTTCCCTCCTGTCAACAGCGACTCTGCACCATGTCAAAAGTGCCCCAGGCCATTCTGATGTGGCCAACCCCACACCCACAGGCAGACCACATTTCAGATCCACTGGATGCGTTCAGCCAGTGTACGTCAAGGGCTTCCCCGTGCTGAGAACATAGAGAGGTACAACACTGGACAGACGGACAAGCTCTCTGTCCTCCCAAGCTCCCATTCCTGTGCAGGGTGGGATATTCTCCACTTGGGGGGATAGGAAAGGCCTCCCTGAGGAGGGGTCATTTAGGCCAAGGCCTGAGAATGAGAAGAGTCCATGCTGCAGAACACCCTAGAAAAGACGTATCAGGCAACGGGAGCCACACGTGCAAAGGCCCTGGGGTGGACAGGGGTATTCAAGGATTAGAAAGGAGGCCACACAGTCAACTTGAGGGAAGGAGGCGGGAGGATTTTGTGAGACCATAGGGAGGGGTCAGTCTTGACCCTAAGGAACCCAGAATGGGGACATGATTGGATTTATCTTTTTAAAAGTTCACTCTCAGCTACTGTTGTGGAAAGTGGGTTGAAGGAGGCCAAGAGTAGATACTGGAAGGCTAGGTGGTAATGAGGTAGGAAACACTCCTCAGCAACACCCCGGCCCCCCAGGCTGGTTCTGGGATGTAGCCGGGCAGTGCCAACATAACCAGGCAGGGTTGTGTCCTGCAGCTCAGCATCCTGAAGGAGGCTCACCAGGACGAGCTGGGCCGCATGTCCGAAGACCTGGAGGACGAGCTGGGTGCGAGGTCCAGCATGGACAGGAAGATGGCCGAGCTGAGGGGCGAGGTGGGGCCGTTGGCAGGGCCTGGGAGGGCGGCAGGGCCAGGGGCCCCACCTCTATCAGCTCGAAAGGGGCCTGTGCCCTGAGGGGGGCCAGCCACACCTCGGGGGGGGTACCCCAATCTACCACGGGCAGTCTCCCTCCCCTACAGAGACCAGAAGCACCTGCACATCCTGCACACAGTGCAATAGCCCGGGTTAATTATAGCCACCGCAGCTGGGCCAGCTTCCTGGAGTCAAAAATGGCTCCAGGAGGAGATGGGGTCGGGGGAGCCTCCAGCAAATGCCCTTCCAGGCCCTCCTGCCCTGGGGGGCCCTCACCCCTCCTGCCCCATTGCAGATGGAGCGGCTGCAGGCAGAGAATGCAGCCGAATGGGGTCGCCGCGAGCGGCTGGAGACGGAGAAGCTGGGCCTGGAGCGGGAGAACAAGAAGCTGCGGGCGCAGGTCGGGGACCTGGAGGAGGCCCTGGCCCGGCGGCGGAGGCAGACAGCCAGCGCACTGGACTGCGACCTGCGGGCCAGCCAGGCTGCCCTCTTCGAGAAAAACAAGGTTAGGCAGTGGGTGGCATGGCCAGGACTGGGGCAGCCCTGCCTCCCCCTGCCCGTTCAGCCAGGGTGGAGCACCTGCTGTGCGTCCAGTGTCAGCTGACAGGGGCCCGGGGACCCCTGAGGCAACAACTAAGGACAGAGGAGATCTCGATCACCCCAGAAGCCGCTCCTCCCGGGCACCCACACAGGGTCAGGCTCCGTGGTCACTGCGGTGCCTGCCTTTCCTGAGCGCCTCCTGTGGGCCCGGTGCCAGCACTGTCACTGTTCTCCTGGGGCAGCAAGAGGTGGCGGAGGCCGAGGCCAGGCGGAGGTTGGGGAATGGAACAAAGCGGGTGGATTCAAGAGACTCTCGGGCAGCGCTGAGCCCCATCGCACAGATGTGAAGACTGAGGCTCAGAGAAGCCGCAGGGCTCGGAGGTGGGCGTCTCCGCCCCTGGCTGCTCATCTTCCTCTCGGCCACCCTGGCTTCTGATCTCCTTTCCGCTGACACCCACTCCCAGCTTGGATCATCCGCAGACCCAGGGCTTCAATCACATCTAGTGTAGATACCAAAGACTCCAGACCCCACCCCTGCTCAGAAAACCTGGCTCAGCTCCACTGGCCTGCGGGGCATCCCACGTGGCTTCCAGCAGGCACCTCCACGTTACACATCCAACACGGGGCCGCTGATTCACCCGCCCAGCCCCCTCCCCTCATCGACTCCCAGGCCTTTTCGCCTCAATAGGTGGCACCTGTGGCCTCCAGCTGCTCAGCCGAACCTCTGGTGCTCCTATTTCAGACAATGGGTGGAGAGATGCTGGGGAGAAGGGACACCAGCACCCCCTAGCACGGCCTGACACCTGCCTGGCACGGCGCCCTCTGACCCCGAGCCCTCCCCTCACCTCTGCTCCCCTGCAGGAGCTGGCAGACCTGAAGCATGTGCATGGCAAGCTGAAGAAACAGTTCCAGGAGAAGGTGGCAGAGCTGGCGCATGCCAACCGGCGGGTGGAGCAGCACGAGGCAGAGGTGAAGAAGCTGCGGCTGCGGGTGGAGGAGCTCAGGAAGGAGCTGGCCCAGGCCGAGGACGAGGTGAGCGCCTGCTGGGGCCCAGAGGGCGGCCTCCAGACCTCAGCTGGGAGAGGAGTGTCCTCTGTGCTGGGTCCCCAGTGCCCGGCATGAGCCGGACTCTCAGGACGTGCCCAGGGTAGAGTGGGTGGGTGATGGATGGGAGATAGGTGTGTGGGTAGGAGGATGGGAAGAAAAATGGGCAGACGAGGTGGATGAGCGGTTGAATAGATTAATGGACGGATGAGTGGGTAGACGTATAGGTGGTTAAATGGAAAGACAGAAGGATAACTCCACGGATGGATGAACAGATGGATGAGGGCCTGGGCGGACAGATGGATGGGAGAGAAAGGGAGGGAAGAAGGATGGCTGGATGAGATGTGACAACAGCTGTCTGAAGGGTGACCGGGTGGACGGCTGGATGGGGGGATAGATGGGTGATGAGTGAGTACGTGGACAGACGGATGACCAAGTGGACAGTGGAAAGACGGAGAGACAACTGACTGGACCAGCGGGTGGAAGAATGAATGCTCAGGGAAAGGACAGAAGGATGGATGGACAGAAAGACAGGTGTGTCTGGGAGAGTGGAAGGACACAGGGACAGACAGGATGACGGGGTGGCTGAATAGATTAATGAGCAGTGAGTGGGTAAGTGGGCATCACCATGGGCAGATGGATGTGCCCACGGATGAGTGGTCACGTGGACAGATGGATGAGGATAGATGGGTTGATGAATGACCAGTAGCTTGGAGCCTTAGAGGATGGATAGATTTAGAAGGGAGGGGCAACAGGGGGGTAGAGGAGCAAGAGGGATGCTTCCCTAGGGGACGTGGGCCTTGATCTAGGCCTCAGGAGAGACGGCCTGCTCTCCGGAAAGGACATTCCCACTGATGAATGGCAGTTGGCAGGCCAGGCCGGCCCAGCCCAAGGTGACCCCCCTGCTGTTGGCCCTGCTCACCCCCCAGCTGGACGAGGCCCACAACCAGGCCCGGAAGCTGCAGCGGTCGCTGGACGAGCAGACGGAGCAGAGCGAGAACCTGCAGGTGCAGCTGGAGCATGTGCAGTCCAGGTGGGCCCCACGTGCACCCCTGGGGGGCCCGGGGGCCCAGTGGGGAGAGGATTCCTGGCCTGGGACACAGAAGCAGGGCAGAGAGACTTCCAGCCAAAGGAAACCTCCCGCCTTCTGGGCAGGGTTGGAGCTCCGGCTGGAGGGGAAGACAGAGAAAGAAGAGGGCCGGGCTCCCCGGGGCCAAAATCCTGTCCCCTTCGGGCTGGAGGGGCCAGGAAGCCAGGGAAGGGGAGTGCAGGAAGCAAGACCAGCTGGGAACCTGGAATTGTCTCCTGCGGCCAGAGAGCAGGAAGGGTGGCCGAGCAGGTCAGGGCCAAGGTGGGGCAACAGGCCAGCTGGGATCAGGGATTGCGGGGGTAGGCCCGAGCGCTGACAGCACCGCAGGGTCCCTGGGGGACCCACACTCTGCATGTCCCTCCTGCCGCCCTCCCCATCCTGACCCCTGTGAATGGCACCCTCTCCCTGATGCCCCTTGGAGCCCCGAGTGCCTATCAGAGAGCATCAAGTCCAAGCCCCTCCCCCACTTCCCAAGCCCCCCACCCGAGGGGCATTATGACCACAGCGCTGACCGACTCTGCCTGGGTCCGCCCCGGGCAGGCCGTTGCTCTCATCCTCTCGTTTCACAGGCCAGAGGGGGCCTGGGCCCTGCAGCCAGGCTGCCTGGGGTGGGAATCCTGGCTGTGACCTTGGGCCACTCACTGAACCTCCTTGTGTCAGAGTTTCCTCTCCTGTAAAATGGGAACAACAGTAGTTCTTACCTCTCGGTGGTTGTGAGAATTAAACGAGCCGGTACGTACCTGGCACATCATAAATGCTGAACAGCCGTCCGCTGCTGCCGTTGCCGCTGCCCCCGGGCGGGGGATGTACATTTGGGTCAGACACCGTGCTACGAGAACCGTGCTCCTGCAAGAAGGGAAGGGACAGATTTTTTTTTCCTATGGAGTTGGCAGATGAGGAAACTAAGGCACGAGAGGGTAAGCCCTCCCCTGGCCTCACAAGCTGGTGAGTGGTCCAGCCAGACGGCCCCTCGCCGCGGCCGTCGGCCATCTGAGCCCTTATTCACTGAGCGCTTACCGTGTGCCGCTGTGTGCTGGGCATCTGTGAAGAGTGTGGGCCCTGGAGCCCGACGTGACAGGCACGCGACGTGGGCTACCAAGCCTCAGTGTCGCCGTCTGCCTGGGATGTTACCCATGGAGTGCTGGGCAGGGGCCCAGGCGCGAGTCCACATCAGGCTGAGTCTGGCCAGCTTGGCCCCCCACCCCCACCCAGCACACACCCCATAAAAGGTCGCCTGGCCCCAGGGTCTTTTCGCTCTTCTTTGGGAACCATAAGCTCCCAGGATGGGCAGGCAGGCTCTGCCTATCCTCTCAAGGGCTTCTGTCGGGGAGGGCGTGGCCGCCCAGGACCGCTGCCCCTTTTCCTTTTCCAACTTTTTGTGCTTTAATGTTCCGGGGACAGCGCACTAAATCATAGCGCAGTAATGGAGGCCCCTGCCAGCGCCCCTCCCTGCCGTGTTAATAATTCATGCCTTCCAGTAAGATGCCGCCTGACGGCCACTCGGCTGGGGGATGGGCCAGCCTCCACAGCCCAGGGTCCAGGTTTGCCTGTACATTTGGGCTTGGGGAGCTTCAATGTGGGGAGGGACTCCGGTGCAGCACTGTCTCACTGACACTGGCGATGAAGGTGACTCAGACTCCCAACCCCCGAACTTTCCCCCTGTGGTCTTTGGAGCCTGGCCTGGGGTCGGATCCCAGAGCACGACCTTGAGCAGCGGCTCACCTCTCCAAGCCCCCAGCCTCCAGCCCCCAACCCCCGACCCTCCTCCCTCTCCCCGCTCTTGCCCATTGCACCTGCTGCAGCACCAGCCCCACTCCCTACTGTCTGTGGGACTTCGGTCCAATTACTCAACTGCTTTGTGCCTCAGTTTCCTTGACTGAGGAGGTGACAGCACCTCCGTCATTTCAGGGACTTCTGGGAGGACGGTGGGATGACGTAATGTTTGTCAAAGGCCCAACCTGGTGCTTCGCAGCAGGGCGTGCGAGGGTAGGCTGAGCTGTATCGGCACCAGCGGACAAGGTCCACGCCCTGACGCCACTGTCCCCCCACCGCACAGGCTTCGCAGGCAGCAGCAGAACGCCCCCCTCTTCGGGAAGATCCGCAGTGCTCGCTTTGGCACCGAGGAAGCCGGGGATGGCGCCAGCGACCTGGACGAGGACGAGGACCTGCAGATCCAGGTGGCCTAGAGCTCCCGAGGCTGGCAGGACTGGCCCAAGGCCACAGGCCCCCTGGGTTACCTGGCTGACCAGCCACTCGAACTGATGCGGTTGCCTGTGCCCGCTCAGGGAGCGGCCCCACTCCCTGCCATGGATGACTAATTTTCTCCCAGGGTGGATGGACATCAGTCCCACACACTACCAAGGCACCGTGGAAGGGAAGCCACGGCCTATTTTTATATATATATATATGCCTGGTGTTATAAACACACACCGTTCCAAGGCCTGGTCTAGGCACCCCCGCCCACCCGGGACTCTTATGCGGGGGAAGGGGATGTCAAGGGAGGTCTGTTGGGTGTCTAACCCAGCCTGTCTCTCTGAGCCTGGGAGTCAGGCAGGAGCTGTTCACGGGACAATGTGATAAACCCAGTCTTTTGTAATAAATGAATTGAAGTTCTTGAGGTGGTGTCCTGAGAGTGTGACAGATCTGGGCAGGCAGAGTCGGGGGCAACGTCAGCCTACGCCTGGCACTGAACCTGAGTTCAACAATATCACGTGACTTAATAAATGGATGAATGTGAGAAAGAATGAATGCATGAACGTCGGAGCTCCTGAATCGTCCGGAATGCAGCTTCTGTGAAGAGGAAAAGAAAGTATGCTGCATGTGTTCTCTGGAGAAGAGGAGACTTAAGTCTGGCACCGGATGGATTCAAATCTCAGCTCTGCCCCTTACTGGCTGTGCAACCTTGGGGAAGCTACTTGCCCTCTCTGAGCCTTAGTTTCTCCATCTATCAATTAGCTGCCTGAAAGAGCCACCCTGAGATTCAGGTGAGTTCATGTGGAGCTCAGTAGAGGTTAGTTATTGTTGAAATACTTGCAGATCTGCCCTGCAGAGGAGGAATTTGCCAGCTGGGTTCTGCCCCAAGGGATGGCATTCAGGCAACTCGTAGTTTACCCAGAGGTAGCTGTAAACACAATAAATAAGAAGTCCTTTTATCTTTCCCCTAGCCCTGCTCTAGGTAGTGAAAATATAGGTAATTTTAATTTTATTTTTGATACTTAGTCTCTAAGTCTTCCATAACCAACAGATTTATATTAAATCTGGTGGAAACGGTTATTGGAAACACAGCGGCATACACTTTTGAAGCTTTGCAAGTGGAGGTGCCATCCGAGCCACCTGCCCGGGTGAGACCCTTTACATGAAGCACTGGAGCCTGATTTCTGCAAAAGCAGGCGCTGTCAGAACTGTGCTGCCACGCGTACGGTGATGAGTTCCCTGTGCTCAGAGGTGTCCAAGGAGAGACCAGGGCTCCCAGCAGGAACTGGCACCAAAGAGGAGTTAAACTCAATTGACAAAGGGGTTCCCTGCCAGGGGTTCCCTGCCAGGGGTGAGGAGCAGCACATACGGACCTTCTCACTGTGGCTCAGTCTGAGGGACCCCTGAAGCCACAAATGGGTGCCAGGGGCCCCGGGGGCTAAGAGGAGGGGAGAGGCAGGCCCAGAGCCCAGCTGGGGGGTAATAAACGCAGGCACTGGATATTTGCCCTGTTTCCAAGCCTAAATTAGCAATGCCGGCGAGGTGGGGCTTGCTGTCACGGCATGAAGGCCCCTGTCCCCTTCTGGGCTTCAAGGGGAAAGGATGGAGTTGGGGACACCCAGCCATGGGGATCCCCCCCAGTGGGTCCTTCTCCACAAGCCAGGGCCATCAGAAAAGTGGCTGCAGGAAGAAGATCATTTCTTGCAAGAGGTCTTTCTGTTTTCTCTCGGAAACAGGACGTTGGCCCCAGAAGAGGCTGGAAATGCTGCCCTTTGACCCTGGGAGCCAGGAGCCAGGCCCTCACTGACAGCAGCCCTTAGAGCCGCCCCCCAGGCCCCCAGGCAGACCTGCCATTCCCAGACACAGAGCAGACCCGTTGGCGGGTTCCCCCAGACTCCCTGGCACCTCCAGCGAGATAGCGTGGAGCAGGGGCCCCATTACAGCCCCTGTCTGTGGGCGGGGCCGCTCCTGAGAATGTCCTTGAGGAGAGGGTCTGGCCTCCCGCCTCCTTTATTCCAGGGAAAACCCAGTCTCAGGAGGCGGAGCCCAGCCGCAGACACAGGGCTGGGAGGCTGTCCAGCCTGGAGTGCGGGCGTCCTCCCTGCTTCTGTCCCAGTGGTCGTCGCGGGGGCAGCATCTGCCAACGGAAGTGGCAGCTTTGGCTCATGTGATGCTTTAAAAACTTTAATGCATTGCTAATAGTAGCCATGCGGTTTTCTCATAAAAATGTAGGTTTCTTTCCCTTGAAAAGTCAGCCCCTTGGACGACGCTGAGCTCACACTCCCGCAGGGCCCCCGCTGCTGGGCTGAGGCGGGTGCTCCCCCCGTGGGGCACAGAGGGCCCCCGTGGGCCGCGGTTCCCACCGTTCCCCGCAGCCTCACCCTGCTGGTGAATGCTGCTCCTCTGACCTAGTCCAGCCTCTCTGAACAGGCGAGGAAACTGAGTGGCAGGGGACGCACTAGCCAGGGTCGTGTCGCACCTGAAATCAACTCCTGCAGGGTCTTCGTCTCCACAGACGCACATGTCCTGAGCCATGAGGTGCCAGGCCCGACTGTCACCTCAGTTTACACCGAGGATGCAGAGGCTCAGAAGGAGCAAGTAACTGTCCCAAGGCCACACGGCTGGTTAGTGGTGACAGTGTCATTCCAGGGCCGGTGCTCCAAGGCCAGACCCACAGCCCTGACCACGACGCCCGCTCCGAGGTGAGGCCCCCGTGGGGTGCGACCCCGCCCCATTCCACAGACCCTGCAGCTCCAGCCGGGAGCTCCCTTCCTGCCACCCAGAATTGTCCCTCCTCTGTCAGAGTCCCACCGGCCCTTCAAAGTTTGGTTCATTCTTAGAGCGTTAGTGGGTTGTGCACTGGTCCGCTTGTCCTGCCCGAACGGATGCTCCTGGAGGGCGACAAAGTCTTCCAGCAGCCAGCACAGGGCGCTGGGCCTAGTGGGCGTCCTTAAAGGAAGGAAGGCAGGACAGACGGACGGAGAGATGGCCTGGACCATCCTACCTCACTGCCCACCCCCCGCCCCACGCCATGCTAGTCCCACTGCGATACCTGTATGACTGGTTCCATGTAGCTCTTTCTGCTGGTCAGCTAAGTCTTCTGAGAAAGCAGGAGCAGCCCAAGGGCAGCGGTGCCCTGCCTCCGCACAAGGCCTGGACAGGCTGGAGAACCGGCTAGGCCAGGCGTGGCCTCACCCAGCCCTCCTCCGTCTTCTGCCTGAAGCCCTGGGCCCTAGAATCTCTTCCGAAGGCTTGGCCTTCCCTAGCTCTCCAGCAGAGGAGGGCTTTGCCCAGTCTGACTCCCAGGCAGACCCTGGGGTCCCCTGCTCTGAAATATACACCCAAGAGTGAGCCCCTTGCACCCCAGCCCTCCAGGTGAGCCTGGCTTCTAGACTCAACTGCTTTCTGATTGGCTCTGTGTCCTCAGCAAACTCCTACCCCTCCTGGGGCTTTTGTTTCCTGATCTGCAAAATGGGAACAACATCTGAGTTGTCCAAACCAACACCCAATAATGTGACTTTACTGTTAGTACCATTTTTTCTGGCTTTCCTTATGTTCTGCATCCCCTGCCAAGACCCTTGACCCACCCTGAGCACCCCTCTGGGGCCATGGGTGGGGGGTTCGAGGCAAAAGCAGCACAGAGCGGTAGCTGTCAGCTTGCCAGCCACCACCCGCCCCCCTGCCACCACCACCCAGCCTCCTCTGCCTGTTAATTGCAGGGTTGCAAGATGCCAGCTGCCTCCCAGGCCCCAGGCGGGCGCCTCCCCAAAGAGCAGGAACTCCCTGGAAAACCTCCCAGCCCTCCTCAAGCCCCACAGGGCCAGCTGCGCCGGGGGTGCCACTCAGGGAGCTCGGACTGCCCCCACTCCCGGGGAGGAGGCCTGAAAAGGTGTGCACACGGAGCCTTCCTCCCGGCTTTCCCATTTCCCAGGCTTCCCCCACGTCAGAGGAGCATCCTGGTCCCCCCTCCCCCACTCGGGAACTGGCAGTGGCTCCCACTGCTGGGCCATAAACTCTCACTCCACATCCGGTGCATGGAGTGCTCCAGACTCACTGTTAAGCACATTCCCCAAGTGGCCTTGGCCTCAGGTCCCTGTTGACCGAGGATACAATGCAGGCAGGCCCCTTGCCGTGGCCTCTCTCCCTTCCCGACTGGCTGGGACTGGCTTTCTCAGCAGCGTCTCATACCTGCCAGAGCACTGGCGGCCTGGTCAGAGTAGGTGACAGCTCCACAGTTACTGGTGTGCCTCATTGGCTAGCACCTGGACCTTGAGCTCCGAGGACAGGGGTCCTGTCCCTTGGGAATCGGGGTCTCCCCAGGAAAGGGGCACACCCCCCGGGGCTCATGCCCCTGCCCTGTGGTGCCATGTAATTGTAATCTTCACAACAACCCAGGAGGAGGACAATGACAAGATGAGGGGACCAAGGCCCAGAGAAGAACGGGGCCAGCCAGTAAATGACAGGGCCAGGATCGAATCTGGCAACTCCAAAGGCCGCGTGTTCTCGGCCACAGCCCACAGCCCAGGTCTGAGCAGCTCAGAGCAGGGGCTCCACAAGTGTTCTGGGAGGGAGGCGGGGCGAGAGTGAGCCGACGGTGGAGAGAACCTCTGTCACTGGCTCCCTTCCCTCGGGTCGTCCTGCAAAGCCCTTCCATCCAGCGCCCACTTGATGCTCTACCTTGAGCAGGTTGGAGGTGGGAACCTCATTACCTAGATGAGTACAGTGAGGTCCAGGGAGCAAAGTAGTTCATCCCAGGGCACCCAGCCACCCTGTCTGGGGAGCCCCCAGATCCTGTAAAGAGGGCCTAACCCTCCACTCCCTGGACCTCCGTTATAATAAGAGAGCGAGCAGCCAAACAGATGCCGATTCTCCTGCACCTTTAACCAGGCAAGAAGCTCCGCCTCCCTGAGCCTCAGTTTCCACATGTGTAACACAGGATGCTGTGGGGATTAGAGGCGACATTTGTCCAGCCCACGGCATGGGGTTCGGCACCCAGCAGGATTGTTTGTCCACTGTCGTCCAAGGCCACCTAGCGTGTCTGTGCGGGAGACCAGT